TGAGCTGCCACAGACTAGTGTTGGCTGTTTTGAGTTGGACAGTTACCACGGCCTGCTCTGCTAGGAATGACACATTGAAGAGGAATCTGTTGCATTCATTGTCAAAAAGAGCATTTCAAGATCTGTCCTGGAGTACAACGCTATAACAAAAGAATAAGATCCATCCACCCACAAGGACAACCAGTTAATAGGACTATTATTCAAATTTATGAATATTATTCAAATTGCCAACTACGAATGCCAAAGACAAAAACATTAAAGATGGTTACCAACTTCTGCACCTGGAACTGATCCAACAGGGCTCTTGTTGGGGGCCTTTGGGGAGTCTGAGTCGCAGCACAGCCGTGTAGACTGGCTGGAAGGCTGTGCTAACCAGCGGAGGAGGATGCTGCAGAAGATGAGGAAGCTGTGCACCACTCTCCCAGGTGGAGAGGAGGGTCTCCAAGACCCTTGTTGGTGGCACCAAGGGAAAGTACATCAGTCCAGCACCATCAACCACCCAGCTGCCACTGACATCTCCATGGAGCGTGCCCATCAGGGGGCGGCCAAGTAACAAACAGCCTCTTGAATTCCTCATTGCCTCCAGAGATGGGACATCAGGCAGAAGGAGCACCTGCTTAAGTGCGAGTACCAGCCCTCCCCTGGGGAGACCAAAGGCCCCCACGTGAACTGAGGGCAGCAAGCAGATCATAGTGGTTGGGGAAGGCAGGAAGAAGCTTGGTGCCCTCTTCCTGTGGGACAATGGATCTTCAGTGGGTGAAATCATAGGGTACAACAAAGTTATCAACAACATGGGTATGAAGCAGACCAGGCAGTTAAAAACTGGCCATGGGCTCCGGCAGTAACTGCGCTGCATTCTCTGAAGGGCTTCTGTTTAAGTTCAAGTTTCCCACTGGGGACCATGGCCACTGTGTGCGGTTCTTCCTGAACATGTATAGGTTTACCACCACCAGTGCCCATAGCTAGATCAACATCTACGATGGGAAGACATGCGAGAGAGTGTTTGCCCCGGGAGGAAGCAAGGCTCACGATGGAGAGATCTGTGCTATGAGTTGGAGACCTGAGAGCACCCACCTGTTCTCTGCTTCTGGAGGCAAACTTTTAAGACCAGGGAAGTCAATTCCAAGTCCGTGGTCACCACATTCACCAGGAGCTCTAACGTCCTGAACCAGCACCTGGGCTGCTTGTGCCAGAAGGACCACCTGCTCAGCATCTTGCTTTCTGGCCACATCAACCACCTGGACAAGAACAACCCTAGGAAGGAAGCCCCTGCGGGTCATCAAGGGTCACAGCTAAGTGAATCCAGTGTCTGAAGGTGCACGGGAACAGTGGCAAGCCCCAGAGACTCCAGCAGCCACAAGGTACATGCCAGATACTGATCCTGAGACTGAGGAGAATGACTCTTTCCCTGGGAAAAGTCACAGGAACTAGGTGTCGAGGATGACTGGACGGGGCTGGCCAGCTCGTCAGCCGCAGCACAGACGATACCTTGGAGTAAGCATCACAGCCTCACCATGCGGGACGACAGCAGACACCAAGAGATGAAGCCGAGGGTCAGCCAAAGTGCCTGGTGGTTGGCCCAGGGGATGTGCACTGGGCAGGACGTCCTGCTCAAGGGTCAGAGGTGCTTCTGCATCCACCCCAGCTATGATCCCTGGGGGCACATGGTGGCCCCTGGGAGTGCAGACAGGATCACCTGCCGCTACTCCACGGCAGGCTTCCAGCTGAAGAATGAGGACAAGCTCCTGGAGGCAAGGGCCTGTGGTGGAGGGACTCCGCCTGCTCCCAGGAAGGTGCCTTCCCTCCCTGGCCGTGGGGGACACCAGTGCCGCGGTCACGGTCTTCGTCAGTGACGGCTGCTCAGAGAATGTTTTCTGCAGCCCCCACTCAAAGGTGGTCTGCCTGCCCGGCCCCTAGACAACGAGCACTTGGCCTCTGGTGGCATGGGGGTGATAGTTTCCCTGTGTGTCCCGATTTACCCTGAGACCTGAGTCAAGATCCAAGATGCCTGCTGGTCATATCACGTCAGCTCCCTGGCCTGGCTGGCTGGGCACACCTCCACCATGCCTCCACCGAGGCAGGGATAATCAGCCATTGAGGCCCTGCCTCTTGGGCTGGCTGAAGCGGGACTAGACCCGATCCCATGGCTGGGGAACACGCTCTTCCTCTGGATGTTTCTGCAGCTCCCCCCCCACCCCCCTCCTTGCTGAGGACTGACGATTCTCACACCCTCCGGGCACTCCGGTCTGTCTGGGTCCTTCTGAAAGCTTTAGAGGGTGACTATTTACACATGAAAAATAAAACAAGCACTTAGAGAGAGCGAGAAGGACTATTTAGCCACTTTACAAAACAGAACTGGTTGATATTCAACTATTTCAGGAGATAGCATATGATCCGGAAACAATGGCATTGAAGGAGGATGCTTAAAATGCACTGAAGAAATTGTGAGAACAACGGTCCAAAAATTTGACAGAAACCAATTAAGGTGTTTAAACAAAAGGATGTAATGCTGTACGTTCTATTTGCCTATGTCAAGACAGTTGGAAGACAGTAACCTGGCCAACCAACTAAAAAAAAGCCACCTTTATGCTCATTCCAAAGGAAGGTGCTCAAACAATGAGAAGAACACTGAACAGTATCAGCTCACAAAGTAAAATTTGGCTGAAGAATATGGTTAAAAATGGCTGCAGTAGTTAGTCCACAAACAGGGAACTGTCAGAAATGTAACCTGGAATCAGAAGAGCATACAGGGAGGGATATCATTGCTGATGTCAGATGGATCTTGGTTGAAGGCAGAGAATATCAGAAAGATGTTTACCTGTGTATATTTGAGTATGCAAAAATATTCAACTGTGTGGATCATAACAGATTATGGATACCTCTGCGAAGAATGGGAATTCCAGCACGCCTAACCGTGCTAAGGTGTAACCCGAATCTCGGCCGAGAGGCAGTCACTGGAACAGAACAAGGGGTTACTTACTATTGTAGTTTGAAATCAGGAAAGGTGTGTGTCAGGCTGCATCCTTTCCTCATACTTATTCAAGATTATAAGAAGAATGCAGCGGCAGAATTGGAGAGGGCTGACCAACAACCCATAACATGCAGATGGCACAGCACTGCTTGCCAAGAGGGAAGAGGGCTTGGCCGCACTTCCTGATGTAGACCAAAGACCACGGCATGCGGTGTGGACGCACCTCAACAGAAGGCAAACCCTCAAAAGTGGCACCCGGAAGCAACCGTGTGATAAGTGGGGCAAAGATTTGACGCTGTCAGCATTTCGTTCTATTGGAGCCACAGTCAACATCCGTGGAAGCAGCAGTCAAGAAACCAAACACTGGACTTTGCACCCAGCACGTCTACTGTAAGAGACTTCGTTAAAGGGTGAAAAATAAAGATGTCACTTTGAGGACTAGGCTGCATCTGGCGCAAACCAGGGTATTTCCAGGCACCTCGTATGCATGTGAAAGCTGGTAAAAGAAGAAGGAAGACCAAACAGGTATCGATTCGCACGATTCATGGTGTTGCCACAGACTACCGAATGTCCCAGGCTGACAGAAGAATGACCACATCTGTCTTCCAAGCAGGACCGTCAGAACGCTCCTTAGAACTGAGGGTGGCGAGGCTGGGTCTCATGCACGCTGAACACGCTATCAGCAGAAACCCGGCCCTGGCGCAGGACCCCATGCTCGGGAAAATAGAGAGCCGGCGAAAAAGAGGAAGAGCCTCCATGAGATGGCCCGACAGTGGCTGTCCCAGCGGACTCCAACGTAACAACTGTGAGAAGAGTGCAGGACCGGGCAGTGGTTCTTTCTTTGGCACGCCGAGTCAGTGGGAGTTGGATGACAACAGTCATGATGACAGGGCGTCATGACAGAAAGCTGGAAGGGAACGTGTCTTCCTGGGGGGTTGGGCAGGAGCTACCGTCAACCCCATCGACATCAGAGTACCTCAGAGCAGAGTGACTGTGATCAAAAGGGGAGCATTTAGAGTGTGTGCATGCAGAGGGCAGGGGGGCAGGTACTGGAGAGGCTCGCCGCCGGTGGATCCACCACGGCTGCTAGAGCAGAGTCTCAGCTGGGGAAGGAGTTGAAGATCCTGAAATAGCTGAAGTTCTAGACTTCATTTCATGGCAAAGCCACGAAGAGGGAATTATTATTTGCTAGAAAGGGCACAACTTTGCCCCTTTTGAGGCAGTAAAGGAGGCTGATCAGCTGATTCCCCTGACTCTGAACTGGGTGAATAAGGAAGGTCTCTCAGGACAGCAGATCAATACGGTGACACAATGAACTCTATTCAGGTGTGGTGGGAAATGGATATGAATCTGACTTTCAGGGGAAATCTTAGACTGTCCTTCATTCAAAATTGGAAGGCATTTATATAAAATTTGCACAGTTCTGAATCAATAGAGCACTGCTCTTTAATTCACACAAAGACCATTTCAGAAACGAACAACAAATGCTCCTTAGAGCCAAGTGGTAAGCCGAGTAAAGATCCCAGGGCTTAAAAGTTTTCCTGCGAGGTCAGCTACCCTTTCGGAAAGCAAGCTTGTTAGGATTTCCGGTTGGTTTTTCAAATGAATATAGTGAATGACAACTATATTTGCACTAAGGAATCGCTTTTGACTCATTAGGTCTCATCCCACCCAGTCCATCTCTAGCTCACTGGTTTTCTCCTGGGGGTGAGTCTGTCTCCCCAAACATATTTGGTCCTGTTGAGCTATTTCTGACACTGGGGTGGGGCAATACTGGCAGGTCATGGGTAGAAGTCGGAGATGCTGCTGTACACCCCAAGGAACACGGCCCATCACACAGAAGTCACCAGCCCCGACTGGGGACCCTGCTGAGATGGAGAGAGACTGGACTGGCTCTAAGGTCTCTGTGTCTCCCGAAGAAGAAGATTCTCGAGGTCACAACCTAGAAACTACTGTCCCCCAACTGGGTTGCCACAAAGAGCACCACGCTCCCTGCTGTGCTCCCCGAGCCCCCGGCGCCCCTGCTTACACAGTAGTGGCAGCTCCAGCCTGTTTCTGTGTGGGCCGTCTCCATCGCCTCCGCCGCATTGTCTCCCTGGATGTAGCCCATGCGGCGCAGGCAGCCGTCATGGAAAACCCTGGTGCAGACCCTGCATGGGAAGAGGGTCTCAGCCGTCCAGACCTCACAGACATCGCACATCTCATCGTTGACCACCTGGGGGGAGACGGAAGTGTGAATGAGATAGTATGAGCAGGCAGCGAGATCCCGTGGCCGCCCCCCATACAGACATCCTCCTGTGAGACTGGATCCCCCTGGAGCTGTCCCGAGGAAGAGCGCCAGTTGAAAGCAGCACTAAAACAAGAGCTTTCTCTCGGGAGGACAAGAACCAGGAGGCTCTTCCCGCGACTCAGGTTTCTGTGACCATGTTTCTGAACACGGATGACGCTGGCATTTTGGAAAGAGCAATCTGTTGTGAGAGATTGTCTCAGGCATTGCATGACATCTGGTATCCCTGGTGTTCTTGGCATGGCACACCAGCAGCAAGCCCTGCTCACGGTGACCTCCTAAACGGTCCCATCCCACATTTGCAAACGCCCCTACAGGGGGTAGAACTACTCATGGCTGAGAAACCTGGCGTGGGAGGGTTGGCAGAAGACCTGCCACGGTGTGGTGTTCTATCATCCACTTCCCAAGCCTTTCACTAAGAGTAAGCTAGGTAACTAAGCTCTTTATTCTGGTGCAAGGAAGCCAAAGTCCTTCTGGGCTCACCTCCACCACACCAGCCTGCCCCGCAAGAGGTCTACTTCGTGAGGACCCTGCCCTCCCTCACGCAGCACTCACAGGCTCTTTGGGGTCCAGGCAGATATCTGGAGGTTTGTCGTCATCCAGCTTCCTGGTGGGGCGGATGAAGGCTGGGGGTGTGAAGCGATTGGTTCTGTCAAATTCCTCGGGCTCCACGCCTCGCCCGTCTCGGAGCCGCTCCCAGGCTGCGCGGTTAGCTCTGCTCTCTTCTTGCAGCACTGGGCTGCTTGCCTCTGCTGCTTTTTCTTCCTGCACCTCCTGGACAGAGCCCTCTACAGTGCCACGGCGGGACCCCGATGGTTCGCCCGTGCGTCGGAGAGAAGGCCTGTCTCGCAGCCCATCCTTGAAGGCAGACACAGCCAAGCTCACCTTCTGCACCTGCTCCACGGTCTGCCGCTTGGACATCAGCACCCCCATGGCTCTGTGGGCGAGAAGCAGAAGGCCACGGACTCTCAGCTCAGGGCGGAGCATGGCGGGCCAATCAGCTTGCAACCATTCGCCCACTGGGCAAGTGCTAGAGTCTCTCCCTCTCCTAGAACTGGTCGCATGGTTGGTTGGGGTGAGACCTGGTGGGGAGTAAAACGACCCTCGCTCCAGCTCTGATGGCCCTGTGACTTGTTCCTAGCTGTGAAACGAAACGAATGGTTAGCTACCTGCCCCGCCCACTTCAACGGGCTGTCATGGGGACAACGCTAGATAACTGGCACTCAGCAAGTGTGAAAGGGTTACCTCTCTTCTTTCCCGTCCTAAGGCAATCTGGATGAGGTGATCCCAGGCTTCTGCTACTTTTGAGACCATTGGGGGCTTTGGAGCCCAAGTATCTCCTTTGCCCCATAAGGAGACCTCAGGCCTAATCTCAGAACAACAAAACCCCAAACAAACCAGAGCCTAACCTGCCTGTGCGTGGATTCTGACTCACAGCAATCCTGCAGGGCAGAACAGAACTGCAAGACTGTAAATCTGTACCAGGGCAAAAAGGATTTTGTCTTTCTCGCATGGAGAAGGCCAGAGGTTTCGAACTGCTGACATTGCATTTAGTAGCCCAGACCTAATCCATTTTGTCTCGGGGCTCCAAACCAGGCTAAGGCAGGACCCTGTGGCCCCTGTGGCTGAAAGAACGTGGGCCCCATTCAGTGCTGTGCACAACCCCTGCAGGGGTCCTTGCCGGAGTCAGGAAGCTCTGCCACCGTGATCCTGTGGTCACAAGCACACCTGCGCCCCTCTAATTAGTAGGGATGCCTCCTTGAGCACAAGCAATTTGTCACAGACCTTGTGATGAGCACGAAGGCTCTTCTGATCTTTGTCACTCATCACGAATGTCATCCTCAGTTTCTGTTTTGATTTTCTGAACATTTCAAGAAAGGGCCACAAGCTTTTCCAGCTGCCCGAGTACCGTCGTCCCTGCCCATCCTCTGCAGCAGCAGGGTACGGCACGCACGGCCGGAGGGCACGACATGGCACCACGCAAAGTCGGGCTGCTACCTCCCATGCTGACGGACCTCGGTGGCAGTCAGCTGGGGAATGCCAGGTGGGCCTTGCTATCCATGCATCCTAATCAAGCCTTACTGCACAGCACTATGTACAAGGCACTAACGACTCATTATAGGGGATAGACGACAGGAAAGATGGAGTCGTAATGTTCGAGCTATTTAAGATCAGAATTCAAGAAGAGTCAGACAAAGTGCTATGAGGGTCTGAGGAGAGGGGAGACCACACCTTTGAAGGGATGGGGAGGAAGTTTGGGGGCAGGTTAACCTGAGTTGGGGGAGAAGCAGAGTCAAGTGGAAGGCAAGAAGTAGGTGACTTAATGGGAAATGTGGTAACAGGAAGGGTGTGGCGCATACCACGGAAATCAATTAGAGAGATGGACTGAGGAAGTGGATCCAGGGCAACAGGAAAAAGGGGCATTTTCAATTAACGAACTGGAAGAACGGTAGTGTCATCCACAGAAATTGGACTTTGAACATCCAGAAGGAGCTCTGGGGGTGTCGTGGGCTCCATGGGGAGCCGGTAACCACAAGGTCGGCTTCCAATCGACCAGCTGTTCTGCGGAAGGCGGCGGCCTTCTGCCCCTGTAACGAGTCCCAGCCACAGGTGCAGTTCTAACCTGCCCTATAAGGTTGCTACAAGTCAAAGCTGGCTCGATGGCAGTGAGCCTGGCTTCTAGTTTTTGTACATACTGAGCTACAGACATTCAGGTGTCATATTATCCCTTGCTTGAAGCCTTGCAGGATCAGGCCCCAGCCAGACTCCCTTTTTGGACTGTGTTCCAATCACAATGGCCTTCTTTCAATATGTATTTGCCATGCCTCTGCCACCACTCTTCTGGGACAGCTAAGACATTCCTTTTCCCAGTGGACGCCTACTCACCTGTCAGAGAGCTCAGGTCATCACTTCCTCAGGGAAGTCCCTGCTGACTGCCTAGCCCAGGTCACCGTGCTGCAACACTGTGCTCTTTTCTCTTTCCCGTCTTTACATGGTCATTGACTATACTGCCTTTGCTCGGCACGCTCTCTGTCCCCAGCACCTACCAGTGCATCTTGCACAGAATAGATGCTCAGCAGACAGCAATTCAACTCAACTCACTGCCATCGACTTGATGCTGACTCACAGCAACCCTGTAGGACAGGGGAGAACCGCCCTGCAAGTTTCTGAGACTAACTCTTTATGGGAGTAGAAAGTCTCAGCTTTTGCCAGTGGAGTGGCTGGTGGTTTCGAACTGCTGACCTAGTAGTTACTAGCCCAATGCATAACCGCACTGCACCATCAGGGCTTAATAGATAACGATACTTAATAAACATTTTGCAATTAATTAAATAGTACAAAGTACTCATACATATACTCTATGACAAACCTTCTACTTACTAAGTGAAAACACTAACCAAGAATGTTTATGTGTGATATGTACCGGGGCTAGAAATATTTCTTGCATGTGCTAACCCTGCCTTGAAAATTCCTACCCTGCCTGTAGCTTGTCTGCATAGATTATCACCCAGGAAACATATATTCTTAAACTTTGTAAACTGACTGATAGGGAAAGATTTACTCTCTATGCCCCCTCTGCTACTTCATCCTTTTGCAAAATTAAAGCATGACTAAGAGATACTTATTGTATGAAAGCCTTTTCCAGTGAAGGGGCAAAGGAGGCTTACTGAGGAAACGTTTATTGAGCAAATCCAGGAAATTATTACTTACGGTGTTCATTCTTCTGTGAACAATTAATAATAAATTGTGTGTGCATTTAATCCCCTGTCCCCAGCTGAAAACAAATATGAGACAATGGGGTGGTGGTGGTTAAATTATGGTACCGTGGAAGACCACACAACAAGAACACTGTGGGATAGAGTATATTTATCATGTGGAAAGATGTTCAAAATATATGAAAATGTTAGTGAAAAAACCAAGTTATAAAAAGTTCATGTTGGTATCTCAGTTTTGTAAGAACATGTATATAATTTTCATATTTTTGTCAATCTGCATCTTCTACTTTGTTTACATTGCACATTATATAATTAAATTTTTCTTTTTAGGGCTGGCAACCTGGTGACTTCAGTTTGGCTGTGTGGTTCTGTAACCCAGGACATGTTGCTTTACTGGTATCTGTTAATGAGTGTTTTCAGAGCCACCTAGTCATAAACATCTGGATCATTTGTGTTCATAGATGCCCTGAACGTTTATGTTCTCTTTAAAATTATTTTAAAAATCTATGTGACTAGAGGCTATGTAGCCTGGGGGTGGGGGGAGGGAGTGTACGTGTGTTTGAAAGCATTTGCTGAGCCTGTGGACCCAGATGGTTCCTGGAGAAAGATACTCGACTTCTAGTCCCCAGGCACAGTGCAGATGCCTCATGAGCACCAGCTGTGCTCTACGCTTAGGTGGAAAAGCAATCAATTTAGTGAGAGGGAGAAGACACACCTGACAACCTGACTGTATGTCTTTCTTATGTGGGTGTGAATCCTCAAAACTGAGGTGCTGGCATATCTGAATAATGGTGACTTCAGACCTAAATTTAAAACTCCACTTTTGGTGAGAGGAGTCAAGATGGCGTTCAGGTATAATCACCTGCCTGGTGCTCCTGTTCTTAGACCTGAAGATTAAGAGATAGGCATGGGAAGCAAGCAACCGGACCAATGGTTCAGGAGGGACTTGGGGGGAGGAGGGGAGGGAGCGGTGAGCAAATGCCACAGACAGGGGAACAACTAGGGAATTAAAATCATTAACAAGGAGAACATAGAGATGCTGGGGGTGTTGGAGCAACAGCAATCTAGCTGAGAGGAATTACTAAGAGGCAGAAGGGTGAGTGTGATGATGGGATAGGAGGAAGGTAAAAGGAAACAGAAGAAAGATCTAGGAAGTACAGCTATGGATAGAGGTATAAACAGGTGTGTATATATGTAAATATATTAATTCACAAAAATAGAGGTATTGGTCTATGCACATATATTTATATGGCAATGCAAATTCTTCCCTCAACTCAAGAACACTTTGTTCTGACAACCTGGCTTTCTGTAATGCTCACTCTCCCGACAAGATCGCTGAAGACAAAATAGGGGTGCAAGCAAATGTGAAGAAAGCTGATGGTGCCTGGCTATCAAAAGATATAGTGTTGGGCTCGCGGATCTCCGCGACCCGAGTACTGAGTGGTTCCTCGCGTCGCGGGACCTGCGTCCAGTGGCTTTGCTGCCGTCACCATGCCACACACTGAACATATCGATTTATACCGTAAGCACTATGGGTATCGTTTGGGTTACCATGAGAGAAAGAGAAAGAAGGAAAGTCGAGAGGCTCATGAATGTTCAAAGAAGGCAAAAAAAAATGATTGGTCTGAAGTCCAAGCTCTACCATAAGCTGCACATGCTGAGAAAATACAAATGAGAAAGACTATCAAGATGCGTGAAAAGAGAAACACCAAACAAAAGAATGATGAGAAGACTCCACAAGGCGCAGGGCCTGCCTCTGCTGGACAGGGAGGGACAATCTCGAGCAAAAGTATTTTCCAATATGATCAAGCAAAAACGAAAAGAGAAAGCGGGGAAATGGGAAGTCCCTCTGCCCAAAGTCCATGCCCAGGGAGAAAAGGAAGTCCTAAAAGTTCTTCGAACAGGACAGAGGAAGAAGAAGGCCTGGAAAAGGATGGCTACTCAAGTTTGCTTTGTTGGGGATGGCTTTACACGGGAACCACCGAAGTATGAACGATTCATCAGACCCATGGGCTTACGTTTCACGAAGGCACATGTGACGCACCCTGAACTTAAAGCCACCTTTTGCTTACCAATACCTGGTGTAAAGAAGAACCCCCGTTCCCATTGTGCACAACGCGGGGTGTTATTACCAAAGGGACCGTCATTGAAGTGAATGTGTGCGAGCTGGGCCTGGTGACGCAAGGAGGCAAGATGATTTGGGGAAAAGATGCCCAGGTTC